TACCGAATTCTCCTATACTAAGTAACCATGTTCTGAAGATCGCGGTTGCTAGGGTTTTACTTGTAAGGACGGCCTAACGAACAGCCTTAGCAAGCAGTAGCTTGCAGGCATAGCTGTACTCCAAGCAGGCTATCGATTGGCCTACACAGACGAACGTACACTAGCCGTTAATCGGTCGATAATTCGGAATTCAAAGTACAGACATTCACTGAGCCAACAGCCAATGGGACCGGCCACTATTTCAGAATACAATCTTATTGGCTCAACGGACATCGTTGACATACGTTTGTTTCCCTAAATTTGTTGTACCCCTAACACTCAAAGACTTCCGCTCTCTGTTTGCGGGCATGTCTTCGGCAATAATACTACTGTAGTGAGTTGGTCTGTTCACTTAGAGTTTGCGCACCGGCAGATAAATACATCAAGGGAGTCGCTTTGCTTCAGACTAGATCAAATATGTAAGCCCTAAATCCAATATTTCACCTCTGCAGTTACATCTGCATGAAAACAGAATGAAGGGATGAGAGAAGGAAATTCACGAAAGCCCAATTAACTGGCCAAAGTTTTGTTGCCATTCGAAAAAAACACAACAATGAATGACCTTAAAAATAAATTTATGAAACTGTTAGTTGTGGGTTAACGGTAGCACAGACGGAACATACGCTTCTTGTACTGGGAGACATAAATATTCCAAAAAATGCTAGTCAATCACCGGAATTATGACTTTATTAATCTAATTTTTCGACTCTTTCAGGAGTCCATCATGGCTCCTGTGGTGACTTGCTTGCGGCAAAGTGATCTCGACGCCTGGATCAGCCAATTACAGTTGCCGCATAGATGCTTTCTGGGTCGGCGACGAACAGCATGCCTGCACGCGCCCCAACGCAATCAGTCTGCCTGACCAAAAACCTCAAGGCCGACCCAGGCAATGACGCTCTCTCTGTCTACTAGACTGACTGCTGTCAAACCAGCACTTGGGCCACGGTTGGCATCCTGGCTGGTCGTGTTCTCCCAAGTCAGACTTCTTCCATTTATTCTTCGTTCCTCTGTGTACACAATATACTATTCCTACTACTCTGGCCTCCAACGACTTTTTCTCAACTAATTGACCATGGTCTGACGAACGCAGTTGCAAGGGTTCAGCTTACTTTTCCTCCTGCGATAGACACACGAGAAGCTTGTCAGGTCAACGATCAAAACTCCAGGTATTGTCACATAATGCAGCGGATCCTTGCTCCAGTTGCCTACTAAAGGTTGACAGTCAGAGGGACTTGGGC